TTCATCTCACAGCGATGAGAAGTAGAGTGGAAAGCCATTGATCTTAAGAGTCAGGTGAGCTCCATACCAGCCCAACGTCTGCCACTCACTTGCTGGTTCACCCTGGCAAGTCATTTGTCCTCTCGGGGCTCTAGTTTTCTTAGTTTTAAATGAAAGTGGTTAAGTAAAGAATGTCTAGGCTCCCTTTCTTTGATCCTATCTATCTATTAAGTAACTTTCAGGTGTAGTCATTGAACCAGATCTGCAGTAAAAGATACAAAGAAAAAATTATAAGATGAGATCCCTTGTCTCAAGAAAGTTTGATTGGATGTTTAAGCCTCTTTCATTATTTCTCAGTTCCTAGGAGTTTCTTGGAAGCACATAATCTCACAGAGCGTATGTGGCCACAGGCAAATACATAATAAATAATTTACTGATGTTATATCACAATACAAGATAAAATAATATCATCTACATTGCTGGGCTTTGAGTCCACCCTGAACTTTTATACAGGTGGGCAACACACAAATAAATATACCTATAATAATATTTTATGTGTAATAGGAGCTATAATATATCGGGCTCCTGCTGTGTACCTAGTTCTCTGCTAGATGCTTTAAAAGCCTTATCTCTGAAACTCTCACGACAATCTTGTAAGATAGGCAGTGCTATCTCCATTTTACACATGAGGAAACCAAGACTTTGAGAGATTAAGAAACTTGCCCAACATTGGCTGGGTGTGGTGGCTCATGCTTTTAATCCCAGCACTTTGGAAGGCCGAGGGGGGTGGATCACCTGAGGTCAGGAGTTCGAGACTAGCCTGGGCAGTATGGTAAAACCCTGTCTCTGCTAAACAAAACAAAACAAAATTAGATGGGCATGGTGGTATATGCCTGTAATCCCAGCTACTTGAGCGGCTGAGGCAGGAAAATCGCTTGAACCCAAGAGGTGGAGGTTGCAGTGAACCGAGATGGCGCCACTGCACTCCAGCCTGGGTGACAGAGTAAGACTCCGTCTCCAAAGAAAAGAAACTCTCCCAACATCATGTAGCTAGGAAGGGGCTGTAGCTCTTTCGGTTCCAAAGTCTAATCTCCTTTCACTGTACCTCTGCCTCTGGGTGTAATGTTTTGCGTTTTATAAAGCATATATATGTGTATACACACACATACACACACACACACACACACACACACACACACACACACACACACACCCACCCCGGGATTTTGGAGATGACTAGACTGCAGCACAGGCTGATTAAATGATGTGTCCCAAATCCCTTCGCTAGAGAGTGGCAGACGAGGGACCTGAATGAAGCCAGGTGCTCTGACTCAAGAAAACGTTCCCTCACCTGCAGGGCTGCTTGCCGCATGCCCCGGCTGACAGGGTTTTGTAAGATTCCTTAACGCTCCTAGGTGGGGCAGGCATGCCACATGTCCCCTCTCGACATTGTTCATACGCTGCTTCCCATTTTCTTGCTCAACCCTCTTGCAGCCTCTCTCAGTTCCATACATGGGCATTTCATCTTTCTAGCTGCTCAGGCCCCAGAACAAGAACCAAGGACTTGTGCTTTTCTCTTACCCCCGTGTCTACTCCTTCAACAAATCCGCCGGCCTTCCTTCAACACAAACCCAGGATCTGACCATTTCTTGGCACCTCCATCAATTTCCTCTCCATCACGCCAGGCATCTTTGCTGTCATCTCATCTGGTCCCTCCGTATCTTCCCTTGCTCCCCACAGTCTCTTCTCCACACGGTAGCCAGAGGGATCCTGCTAAGTCAGAAGCCACATCCTACCCTTCTCTGCTGATAAATGCTCCAATGGTTTCCGGTTTCACTGTGAGCAAAAGCCCTGTGAGATGGACTTGATTCCTGCCACGAGGCCTCCTGGCTGTTCCTGGAACACATCAGGACCATGTCTGCCCCAGGGCCTTTGCACATGCAGTTTCCCCACCCTGGGACCCTCTTCCCCAGATGTCTGCAGAGCCCGCTCCTCAGCTCCCTCAAGTGTGTGCTAATTTGCCATCTCCTTGCGGAGGCTTCCCTTGCCCACCTTTATTTAAACTACCGCTCATCTCCTACATGATGTTTTCCAGCCTCACTCTGGAGCTCTGCCTCCTTTCTCCTTCTAAACACTTATCACTGTCTGGCAAACGATGCATTGAACCAGTTCATTTTATTTGTCATCTATCTTCCCAAATTGAATGTAAGGCCCCCAAAGGCAGGGTTTCATTTGGGGAGGGGACGTTCTGGCTCGTTCAAGACCGTAAAACCCTAGTGTCTACAACAATGCCTGGCACTTAGTAGGTCTCAATATATATATATTTTTGACAGTCTCGCTCTGTTGCCCAGACTGGAGTGCAGTGGCGCCATCTCGCCTCACTGCAACTCCCGCCTCCTGGGGTCAAGTGATTCTCTTGCCTCAGCCTCCCAAGTAGCTGGGACTATAGGTGTGCACCACCATGCCTGGCTAATTTTTTTGGCATTTTGGTAGAGAAGGGGTTTCACCATGTTAGCCAGGCTGGTCTTGAACTCCTGATCTCAGGTGAGCCACCCACTTCAGCCTCCCAAATTGCTAAGATTACAGGTGTGAGCCACCTTGCCTGGCCCTAATGCATGTTTTTCGTACGGATGAATGAAGGGTATTCATTCCCTGTCCCCTGACAGGTATTAGGGCCTCATTTCTTCCTGATCTGCAGAGTAGATCTTTTTTTTTTTTTCAATCTCAGGCATATGTTCACTCTTCTGAGGTGCGGTATGACCACTCATTTCTCACTGACTCTCACCTAAACCCAGTTCCCAGATGCTCTCCGCAGAGGCTTGGGTGAGGCTGCAGTCATGCCAGCTTCTGCTCTCATCCCACATTCTTTGAGTTTAATGAGGAAGTCTCCCTCAGGTGCCATCCTGGACTGCTTCCCAAGACGCTGCCTTCACAGACAACCCTCTCAGTTTCGGGAGCCACCCAGCTGTTGAAGGTCAACCATTCAACTTACTGAGTATTAATTACTCAAACGTGTCTGGTTGTATGGGAGTCCTTCAGCCAGCAATGAAATGGAGGGTGAATCAGGGTGAGGGAGAAAGTTCATATTAATGAATGGTACACCTTTCCCTATCTCAAAGAGGTAAATACCCTTGAAAGTGCCCCTGTGCTGCTGGGTTGAAGAGAGTGCAGGAGCCCAGGAGGAGAGAAGGCTATTCAATTTGTAATTTGCAAAAAAAAAAAAAAAAAAAAAAAAAAAAAAAAAAAAAGAAAGAAAAGAAAAGAAGCCATTTATCAAAGTTTCTGCTTGAGATATTTAGTAATAGAACTGCCCTTCAAGGTTTCCTTAAGGGTAATGTTGCTGCTTAAAAAGGAAATATGCTCTCCCATTTTGCATTGGAGAAAACTACCACACGGAGTCGGGTGGTGACTCTCAAAGGACAACAGCAGCCCCTTGTATCAAGGGACAGCCATGTGCACCTCCACCCACCAGAACTGTGTCCCAGACCATCTCTGGAGGAGGATGTCATCATGAAAGTTGCCTGCCATCGAGAGAAAGAAAAGGAAGTGAAACTCACTCACCACTCAAACCCCAAACGGTGCTGGGTTAGGAGTGAGAGCAGAGCAGGCAGATCTGGGCAGAACCTGAGAAACAGCTTTGGGGTCCTGGCTGGGTAGGCCTTTAAAGGTCAGCCAGGACAAACTTGGAGGTCACCTGCACTTGGGGAAGCTGAGGGGCAGAGGGGATGAGTGGCTCCGGGGTCCCAGCCATGCAGGGAGTTAGTGAATTAATAGCAGTCAGAATTCTGCCACTGTGAGTCTCCACATGGAGCTACGTCCAGGGTGCTCGAATGAGCATGGCCACCCACTGCTTTCGTACCCTTATGTTCCAGATGAGGAGACGGACCCATAAGGCAGAAACAGCAGTGAGGCCAAGGAAGCCAGGGAAGAGATTTAATGTGGACCTTCACCCGTTGGCCTCTCTTGAGTTCACTTAAGCAGGACTTTCTGTTCTTTCTCTCTTCCTTTCCTTCAGTGTCACGGTGACTTTTATAACAATTTTGTCTAGTCCCTCAGGAAATGGTCTTGTGAACTTGAAAAACAAATGCCTAAATTCACTGAACCAAGTTAGTTTCTTGTACTGTCTCTTCCGTTCCATGCCAGTGTTTCTGCCCAGAAGTGGGGTCAGTTTGTTCAGAGTGGAGGGGGAGGCAGAGATTCTGTGGACTCCCCTGGAGTCACAGCTTAGCAGTGAGAAGACAGGGATGCATAAGACAGTCTCCCCAAAGCAGACCATCCCAGTGTTCTCAGCATACAGCAGGTGCTTAGCAAATGATGGTTGCATTGTGTTGTCAGGCACCATGCTGGAACACTTACAGGCTACCAATTTTATAACAGACCAATGGAGAGGCGTATTGATCACCCAACTACTCTGTGTCCAGAGTTATCATTGGAATTGTCCAAAAGTCAAGAGACATATAGCTTTACTCTCAGGGACCTGGAAATCTCATTGGGAGGCCAGTTCTATCATGCATAACATATCTTGAGCAAAATACAAGACAGTTCTGTAAAAGATCCTGTAATATTGATGAGATTGTAGAGAGAGGATTTAAAAGCCAGCTTGCTCCATCATCATGCCCATGTAATAATAATGATGGTAATAGTCATAGCTGCCCTCTTTTGAGCAGTTAACTGTAGTTACCATCAGGCACATGCTAAGCACTTTAAATATATCATCTCATTTACTCCGCACGACAAACCTACCAGTACTAATATTATCTCCTTGCCCACGGTCACATAGCTGAAAGTGTAGAGCCAGAACACATAGACTTCTTCTATGTGGATTTCTAAAAAAACAAACAAACAAACAAACAAACAAAAAAAAAACAAAAAAAACAGAAAAGTGTAGAGCCAGAATTGGAATCTGGGCACCTTTTACTAACCCTAAGCCTAAAGCCATGTTCTTAGCGTTGACAACCACAGCCCATCCCCAGCCTCTCTAGTCCTCTGTGTGTAGGTGGCTCCTTGAAAGACGACTGTACCTTTTAAAGTCTCTCTCTGCGTCCTCTGGCCACCAAGTTCCGGTCCAGATCAGTGGTCCTCAAACTCTCGGACACCCACCACATCATAGAGGGTCCTGATGAGAGAGAGAGAAAGGGGAACTGCTTGTCATGTGTGGCCCATTTGCGCCCACCCACCCCTGGAAGTGAGGGGCACACGTGAACCCTGTCCCCACGTCGTCACTCAGGTGGAAACAAGTTGAGAACCCCAGTTTTGGGGTCACCCCGGTTGCTCCCATCCCATTTTGCATTTTCCCTTCCTGCTTTCCTGTGGCTGGCTTTGCTCTGCTGATGTCTGTCTTAAACCCCAAGCATCAGATAATCTCTGAAGCTCAGCCAGCCAACTCTCCTTCATTTGCCCGGAGTCTCCTGTGGGGTCCTCAGGGTTCTCCCAGCTCCTGAGCCACCTACTTTTCCCTGGGCGTGTTCCCGTGTCCCGAGTGCCAAATCATTGGTGCTGCCTTGTGGCTATGCTTGGGAATTGCAGCTCTCCTGCTCGTTGGGACAGCTGGGCCCCCGGAAGGCAGATTTCCGTGGTACCCTTCTCCCACCGCTATACTCACCGCATCTCCCAGAGTGGAAGTACCTTAAGTTAACAAGCCCATCTGACATCCTGAAATTACCACCATGCCTTCAGGGCATGTGAACATTAAAATCACCCCGGTACTATGACTACTTACTACCACCACTCAATTCCTGCCACCACGACTAATACCTTCCCCTACAACCACTACCACCACTGCTACCACCACTTCTATCACTGTTAACATCACTACGACTACCACAACCATTACAGCCTATGTTAATACCACAAATGTTACCACTACATGACCAGTGCTACTGCCACTACCACCACCATTAATACCACTGCTATTACCACTGTTAATACCGTTGCTACTACCGCTATTAATATTACCCCTACCACTATTTTTTTTTTTAAGAGACGGTGTCTCGCTCTGTTGCCCAGGCTAGAATGCAGTGGTGTAATCATGGCTCACTGCAGTCTTGAACTCCTGAGCTCAAGCCCCCAAATAGCTGGGACTACAGGTGCATGCCACCACACCTAACTAAGTTTTTTTTTTTTTTTTTTTTTTTTTGAGACGGAGTTTCGCTCTTGTTACCCAGGTTGGAGTGCAATGGCGCAATCTCGGCTCACCGCAACCTCCGCCTCCTGGGTTCAGGCAATTCTCCTGCCTCAACCTCCTGAGTAGCTGGGATTACAGGCACGTGCCACCATGCCCAGCTAATTTTTTGTATTTTCAGTAGAGACGGGGTTTCACCATGTTGACCAGGATGGTCTCGATCTCTCGACCTCGTGATCCACCCGCCTCGGCCTCCCAAAGTGCTGGGATTACAAGCTTGAGCCACCGCGCCCGGCCCACACCTAACTAAGTTTTAAACATTTTTTCCAGAAATGGGGTCTTGAACTCTTACCCTCATGCAATCCTCCTGCCTTGGCCCCCCAAAGTGCTGGGATTACAGGTGTGAGCCATAGCACCTGGCCACTGCTATTACTATTAATACCACTCTTACCATTATTAATACCACCCCTCCTACTACCACTGCTCATACCATTCCTACAACTGCTACCACCACTACTACTATTGCTATTGTTGCTGCTGTTAACTGTAGCTACTGAAGACTTATTGTGTGCTTGGCTCATGATATTTTTCTTATATTATCTCATGTAATTCTCACAGCAACTCTTGAAGAAGGAAATATAATTATCCTCATTTTACAGATAAGATAATCAGGACTTGGGAGTCCTTTGAATTGTCATAGTTCCCTCTCCTAGTAAGAGGCAAATCAGGATATGAACTCAAATTGTCTGGCATCAGAGCCCATGCATTTAACCACTAGTGTGAGGAAGCAACGTTGGCTTTGGAGTCAGGGAGACCTGGGTTAGAATCCCCACCTTGCTGGGTAACTGGATGAGTCTTCTTTGTAAGATGAGATTTCCATTTGCACGGATAGGGTTCTTTAGAGGATTAAATGAGATGATATATATTGGGATGTCCAATCTTTTGGTTTTCCCAGGCCACATTGGAATAAGAATTGTCTTGGGCCACATATAAAATACACTAACACTAATGATAGCTGATGAGCTGAAAAAAAATTCCAAAAAAAATCTCGTAACGTTTTAAGAAAGTCTATAAATTTGCATTGGGCTGCATTCGACGCCGTTCCAGGCCACATGTGGCCCATGGACCATGGGTTGGACAAGCTTGGTATGTATGAAACGTGTAACAGAAAGGCTGCACGTGATTGGCCCTGCCTCCCAGGGAACCTGGCAGACCTGTCTTGTGAGTCTCCGCTCACAGCCAACAATAGGTCCTCTGCAAGAACCTAATGTTGGATAACACACTCTCCACTCAGGCCATACAAACTAACCTGTTAATGATTCATTCATTCATTCACCCACATATCTCACATTGATTGAACATCTCCTATAGGCTAGGCATGGTGCTTGGGCCTGGGGATGTGGTCACAGCCCTTGTGTCATGGACCCTACTGGAACTTTCTGTTTGCCACCTACAGGAGATACAAAGAGCAGTGTGGAACAGTTGAGGCACAGAGAATCTGGTGAGCTTGGAAAAGGGGTAAAATGAGGAAGTCAATGAGTAGGTACAATGAGGATTAAGACAAACATCTTAGGAGATTAGGGAATGGATAGTCCTATCAAAGGAAAGAAACATCTCACTGCTGGATGGATCGGGCAAAGCTTGGTGGCATCACTTGGAAGGAGGGGAAGGAAATGGCGAAGGTAGCGGCTGGAGGAACATCCTGGGTAATTAGTTTTTTTCAGCGAGGGGCCGCTGGACCTCTTGCTCATCCTTCACTATTTAGAGAGCACTTCTAATGACCAACGACTGTCTCACAGCAGCTTCACTGGAGTGGGAGGGCTGGACCTTGGTGGTTCCTCCACAGTGGAGGGATGACCATGTGAAAATACCCCCACTGTGATCAGGCTTTGTGCTGGACTCCAGCCCCCACCACCGAGCGTGGGACTCCCATTTTGCAGATGAGAAAATTGAGACTCAGAGACATTCGGTGACTTACTGAAGTTACCGAATGCAGAAGTCACGATGCCAAACTGGGTCCATCTAGTGCCCAAGGCCATCATGAAACACTTTTCTTTCACGGAGAAGGCTGGAAGCCTGGTAAGCTTTCACTCAGATCTGATCATGCAGGTGGAAGGCTGTGTCCACCAGATAAAGGAGGCAGGGCTTAGAGCCACACAGGGTGTTGAGAGGAGTGGCTGAAACAGACGTCGGGGTGTGTGGTGTGAGAGGCTGCCGCACGCGGTAATCGTTGTCAGGCAGACCTGGGCTTGACTCTCAGCTGGGCAAGCTTTTTTAACCGCATTTAAAAATGCTACCCCGGCCGGGCACGGTGGCTCAGCCTGTAATCCCAGCACTTTGGGAGGCCGAGGCGGGTGGATCACAAGGTCAAGAGATCGAGACCATCCCGGTCAACACGGTGAAACCCCGTCTCTACTAAAAATACAAAAAATTAGCTGGGCATGGTGGCGTGTACCTGTCATCCCAGCTACTCAGGAGGCTGAGGCAGGAGAATTGCCTGAACCCAGGAGGCGGAGGTTGCGGTGAGCCGAGATCGCGCCATTGCACTCCAGCCTGGGGTAACAAGAGCGAAACTCCGTCTCAAAAAAAAAAAAAAAAAAAAATTGCTACCCCAACGATTTCCCTCTGTGATCATGTTTTAGCTGTTACACACATGTTAATGAAAATTATAGTTATACTGTAAGTTTAAACCTTGGTTTTCTCATCTCTAAGTCAATAATGTCTATGATAGGATTGCTCATGCAGGCGAAATCAGTTAACACAGGAGGAGCTCCACAAAGCATGGGCATACGGTAAGTACCCAATGCATGGTTTTTTTTTTGTTGTTTTTTGTTTTTTTTCTAGAAGGACCTAGAACAATGCTGAGGACATTGTTTTAGGACAGTGCTGGGGTGCTCAGGATGCGGCTGCTTCATTTTTTTCTGGAGTCTGACAGAATCCTGGCCACTGTACCCCTAACTGAAATAGTCAAGAGGGTGTTTTGTGAGCTTATGAATTTTTATAAGGTCCCACTCTTGCAATTTCATGTAATGCTCCAGTGCCATTGGACACGTCAACTCCTGACCTTTCAGTTGGTGAGGCACTTCCCATAAACAAAGCCATAAAAGCCCACTGGTGTTCTCCTTGGCCTGTGAGTTTGTTTGGTGCTCTCCCTCTCTCCTTCACCATTTGAATAGTGATGTCATGATTCCAACATCCTCTCACCTCTACTGAAAAGGACCGAGCAGTGACTCCCTCCTGGGTGCTCAGCAGCCCTCTGGGGGGAAGTTGTGGTTTCAGCAAGGTGTGAGCATCATGAAACCGAGAGAGAACTGGGAGGGCAGAGAAGTCACCCAAAGGTAGGAGAGAGAGAAAAACGCTCACGTGCTTTTATTCAGCTCAAGACAGTGGTCAAGTCAGTCTTTATTTTTTTTTTTTTAAGGCTTGCTATTAAGCTATTAGTATAACACCATTTAAGGAAATATAAATAGAATAAAGCACCCACCCATTCCCCACCACCAAGTGCTAGCCCAATTATTTCCCTTTACAAGTGATCACTTTTAAATGTTACACATATTTTAATAACAATTATAATCATACTACAGTTTTAATTTAATCTCCTCGAATGATGTTATTTCAGGAATGCTTTTTCTTTCTTTTTTCGTTTTTTCTTTTTTTTTGGAGATGGAATCTCACTCCGTTGCCCAGGCTGGAGTGCAGTGGCACCATCTCAGCTCACTGCAACTTCTGCCTCCTGGGTTCAAGTAATTCTCCTGCCTCAGTCTCTTGAGTAGCTGGGATTACAGATGTGTGCCATCATGCTCGGCTAATTTTTGTATTTTTAGTAGAGACAGCGTTTCACCATGTTGGTCAGGCTGGTCTTGAACTCCTGGCCTCAAGTGATCCACCTGCCTCAGCCTCCCAAGTGCTGGGATTACAGGTGTGAGCCACCACGCCCGGTCCAGGAAGGCTTTGTTGACGCTGCTGCTTCTTCCTGTTTATCATGGAAGCTACCG